CCCGGCGATCGCTGCATTCATTAAAAACAACAAAGATTCTGCGTGTGAAGCGTTGGCTCGAGCGTCATGTGTCTAGGTGTCAATGTTGCTCGTGTTGCTGACGCTTTTCCTGCCTCTGTGACCTCCGACCTTTGGTCGCTCTCACCGGATCGTTTTGACGGACAGGTTTGGACACAATCAAGCGGGGAAGACACCCCATTCGCATATCCGTCCTTCCACGTATACGAACAATATATAAGAGTTTGTTTATACTGGTAGGAACCTCCTGGTTCCACCCGCCCACGGGATTATTGTGTCCGTCCGTCCATCGTGCATCCAGAAATGGGAGGGTGGGGAGGGAAGGGCTGGGTGGGTGGGGAGAGGGGAGGGTGGGAAGGGAAGGGCTAGGTGGGTGGGGAGAGGGGAGGGAAGGGCTGGGTGGGAGGGGTGGGGCTGGGTGGGGTGAGGCTGGTCACCCCGTGGTAATTACTGGCGAAACGTGGTACTCGGATTGTAAATGTTGTGCGTTTACTCTCCAACACGCCGGTTAGTGCTGAACTAGTAATGAATTGGCACGTTGTGTTTACGTGACAGACCTAACCAATTGGCTGTGGTGGGTTTAACGACACATTTATATTTCCGCGATCTAACCCCAACAAAAAAACCTCGATTATGGATTTTTTTTAAATACATCCCCCCCCCCACCCGACTTAAAATCTTATTGATGGACCCTCATACAATCCGGCCACACCGTTCTTCACACGAGCAACATTGATTTATCCACACCAATGCCACCCCCAATCCCAGACTTGCTCACGCAACGCCTCGCCATCGTCGCCGAAGAGCCGAGCCTGCAGCATCGCCACCCCGAGGGTGAAGCAACGGTCCACGCCGATTCTTTGTCGATTATCATGCTCGCGGTTACACGCATCGCATCGCGCGTAAGAAATTTTCGATTCGTGTTGTGTGTAATGTGTCACTCCCCCCACGCCTTGCCCACCTGCAGCCGTGATGAGATGCTACCATTCACCATCGTCGTCACCGATAGCCATAATCCCGCTGCGTCACAAGAGGCCACGTGCGTTGCCACCACCACCACCAACCTCCCGCCACCACCCATCGCCGCCACCACCGGCCACCCACACCACCCACGACACCACCACCGACCCAGCACTGCCTCCACAGTGCTGCATCACAGAGGCCACGTGCGTAGCCACCACCACCAACTTCCCGCCACCACCCATCTCCGCCACCACCGGCCACCACCACCACCGACCCAGCACTGCCTCCACAGTGCTGCGTCACAGAGGCCACGTGCGTAGCCACCGCTACCACCCATCGCCACCAACACCACCACCCACCGACACGACCCATCACCACCACCCACTGACACCACCCATCACCACCACCCACCGACACCACCAAAGCCACCCACACCACCCCTTGTCATCTCGACGCCGTTGTCCATCCAGCAGTGGGTTGACGGTCTGCGATGACGACGATGGTCCAAGCTGTTGGTGCGTCTATCATTGCCACGTGTAGTGTAGTCCAACGGTGATATCACGGGAGAAGAAAAAAATGTTTTGAATTATTAAATGTTGACAATTTTTAATGAATAAAAAATGATAAACTGTCGTATAAGACCCTTGTTGTTATTATCGTGCTTGAATGCTTTATTAACTTAACCGGACAACACTAGTCAACAAACTCAACATGTCTGTGCGAGTCTCTAGGTGCCGGCCATGGTGAATCTAAGTCCTGGGCGAAGCCGGGTAGTAAAGCTAGTATAGTTTTTAGTAGGGTCTAAGGCTTTGACGAGTGGTGAACCTGAACCCTGTCCATTCGATTCATGGCTGTCGTGAGTTCGTACTTGTGCAGTGACATAGAATCGGTCACGTAGCAGCATAGCCCTGGCTGCTGGCGGGGAAGGGGATCTGCAGCTTACAGCAGCCCTGACTTGACAGCAGGTCACGTGATAGACCAGAGAGGATGTAGGGGAAAGGTCACGGAAGGGGCACGTCGAGAACCTGCTCGTAGGTTCCAGAAGGGGGGCGTGGCCGGGGGCGGAGCCAGGCCACGCTGACGGTATATAAGAGGGGCCCCGGGAGGGGAGCTCAGGGCTGTCGTGTGGAGTCGGATCCCTGATATGCTGCTGGAGTCTTCACCATCTCGGCATCGGCAGTCAGGCAGTCTACCAGCTGTCCTGACTGGGAGCCGTAGTTACCCAGTGTGAACTGTTAAGGCCGTGTTAATAAACAGTGCCTCCTACTCTTAGTGTCTACGAATCAGTCACTACACTAGGATGAAACCGCATGTACTTAGTGACTTTTTATTATTTTAATATACATATGAAGCAATTGGGGGGACCCCGGAGTCCCATCACTGCCCCGGGGTGGGAAAAACCGCGTAGCGACACGAGTCTTGCCTTACCGACAACAAAACTAGTGGTCAATCGATTGGCCTCGTCAAGAGTTACTCGGAGCACTAAGTTTCGTAAAAAGTTGAAAAATTACATAAACACGTTAAATTCACTGCCTGGGGGGCGGGCTTGCCTTGGCAAAGAAGCTGAGGATCGACGGCTGACCGGAGGGCGGCGGACGCCCCCTGAGGCTTGCGTTTGGCCGGTGGGGTGGCGCCCATCGTGTCGATCGTCGCCTGCTGTCGCCTGCTGGCGCTTGTTGTCGTGAGTCTGGGCGGGCGGCGCGTTGCTGTCGGGATCACGAGTGGGGCGGACTGAAAAATAATAATTATTGAACTGATTTTTGCGGGACCCCAGGGTCCCGCCAAATGATTCATATTAAAGAATATACAAAATATTGAATTGTAAAAAGTGATTACGTGTTCACTATATGTCCCGGGTGTTGGTCACGTGTATATGCGGCGCTGTAATTCAACACTTCACGGATTAGTTTTTCAATGGACCGCTCTATTACACTTCTGTTCACACATTTGTGTGTGTGTTTAGTTTGGCATCCTTCCTGCCGCACCGCTTAGCACGGTTGGTTACATGCGGTGCGAAAGAAGTTGGAACGTGCATATGAAGTGTCAACGATTCAGAGACAGAGTTTCTAGGAGGCACTTTCTGAAACAACTTTCACGGTCTCGTCCACACGCTGTCCACAGTAGCTCAGCCTGGCCTGTACACAACACTAGCCGTCTTAACACTGACGTCGCTGACTGAGATAACCAACTACTCTCCTTCGCAGCGCAATATTTAGCGGAGGCGTTCAGCGACGACGGCGTCGAGACGACGGCAACGACGAGACGAGTCCACTCCCAGAACCGGCAGCCCCGAGCCCCCCGCTCTCGGCTCCTTTTATGCGCCTCCCTTCTCGAACCCGCTAGCAGGTTCCAGGGGCCTTCAGACGGGGTCCTCCGTGACCCTTGCCCTTAGTTCTTCCCCTCTGCCCGCACACGGTGCACGCCCTCACCGGCGCGTGTGCTGTCTGTCCACCACAGCTGCCGCTGCTGTCCACCAGCCGGCGCTATTACACGACACGTGTATGCTATGTGGACCCCCCCCCCAAATGGAACATCTACGCAGGTTAGAAACATTTAGGCTGGCCTGCCTACGATCCATCCTGGGTTTAACCAGACTGGATTGTGTGAGGAGCTCACAAATCCTTGAAAGATCTGGGCAGGGTCCCATCGGTGAGCTCCTCCGGCGGGGAAGGCTGCGTTGGCTGGGTCATGTAGCCCGCATGCCCAGCCACCGCATGCCGAAACAGCTTTTGTTTGGCCGGATTGAGGGGGCTAAGCGGGCGCGGCACGGGCTAGAGAAGAGATGGAGTGACGTGGTACAGGAGGACGTGGAGCTGAGTGAACTTACCGATGACCGGTACCAGCGGTGTCAAGATCGGCCTCTGTGGAGGAGGCTCGTGAAGGATGCTACTGGGCAGTTGGAGGCAGTCGCCTTCCAACAACAACGGAGGGCGGAGGAGCGACGCTCACAACAATGAGCGGAGCGCCGGGTGGCTAAAGCACAGCAGGTTGGCACAGTAGGGGGCACAGGTGGTGCATCAGCCAGTCATCTCAGTCAGTCGACCCGTGGCACCTGGGTCTGCCCCGTGACCTCCTGCCAGCGGGCGTTCGACACTTCACGTGGCCTCAGGGTGCACATAGCCTGGCACAAGCGTCGTGGTGACGTCACCGCCACTTAGTGGCGAATGGCGGTTGTTGTTGTTGTGTGTCTGTGTGTGTGTGTCTCTGTGTGTGTGTGAATCTGTGTGTGTGAGTGTGTGTGTCTGTGTGTGTGTGAATCTGTGTGTGTGTCTGTGTGTGTGATCTGTGTGTGTGTCTGTGTGAGTGTGTGAATCTGTGTGTGTCTGTGTGTGTGAATCTGTGTGTGTGAGTGTGTGTGAGTGTGTGTGTGTCTGTGTGTGTGTGAATCTGTGAGTGTGTGTGAATCTGTGTGTGTCTGTGTGTGTGTGAATCTGTGTGTGTGAGTGTGTGTCTGTGTGTGTGTGAATCTGTGTGTGTGAGTGTGTGTGAATCTGTGTGTGTGTGAATCTGTGTGTGTGAATCTATGTGTGTGTGAGTGTGTGTCTGTGTGTGTGTCTGTGTGTGTGTGAATCTGTGTGTGTGAGTGTGTGTGTCTGTGTGAATCTGTGTGTGAGTGTGTGTGTCTGTGTGTGAATCTGTGTGTGTGAGTGTGTGTGTCTGTGTGTGAATCTGTGTGTGTGTCTGTGTGTGTGTGAATCTGTGTCTGTGTGTGAGTGTGTGTGTGAATCGGTGTGTGTGAGTGTGTGTGTCTGTGTGTGTGTGTGAATCTGTGTGTGTGAGTGTGTGTGTCTGTGTGTGTGCGATCTGTCTGTGAGTGTCTGTGTGTGAGTGTGTGTGTGTGTGAATCTATGTGTGTGAGTGTGTCTGTGTGTGAATCTGTGTGTGTGAGTGTGTGTGTCTGTGTGTGAGTGTGTGTGAATCTGTGTGTGTGAGTGTGTGTGTCTGTGTGTGTGTGAATCTGTGTGTGAGTGTGTGAATCTGTGTGTGTGAATCTGTGTGTGTGTCTGTGTGTGTGAATCTGTGTGTGTGAGTGTGTGTGTCTGTGTGTGTGTGAATCGTTCCGCCGGCGACCGCCTCCACCACCGTGCCCCCAGACACACCCGACTCGCGGTAAGAGTTCCTCTCCGCCGCTCGCTCTTCTCAATGCTTTATAATTATTATAATCAGCAGTACGACTTGTTGCAAACAATCCTTGGCTTAGAGACGACGACTTCTGTGTGTGGAGAGGTTTTGTTTGTGTTTGTGGTGAATGTCGCAGCGTTTAAGCTCCTAGGGTGGCGTTTTAGTTCTTGGAAAAAGGCTTGAGGCCTTGCATCGGACTTGGCGAGTTAAATTTAAGTATTATTTTAAAATTGTGACATTTTATTTGTAACGTGCGAATCGTGTGCACACACACACACATACACAGATATATATTGTTTTAAAACTCTGTTGGGAGTGAATAACGTCGGCTATGTATGAGCCTGCGTCCCGACTCTCGTCTGAGGCTCGGGACGCGTGGCGCTTACGAGGAGTCTGTGTATGTGAGTGTGTGTCTGTGTGTGTGTATGTGTGTGTGTGAGTTTGTGTGTGTGAGTCTGTGTATGTGAGTGTGTGTCTATGTGTGTGTGTGAGTTTGTGTGTGTGAGTCTGTGTGTGTGTGTGTGAGTCTGTGTGTGTGTGAGTGTGTGTGAGTCTGTGTGTATGTGTGTGAGTCTGTGTGTCTGTGTGTGTGTATGTGAGTGTGTGTCTGTGTGTGAGTCTGTGTGTGTATGTGAGTGTGTGTCTGTGTGTGAGTGTGTGAGTCTGTGTATGTGAGTGTGTGTCTGTATGTGTGTGTGAGTCTGTGTGTGTGTGTGTTTGTGTGTCTGTGTGTGTATGTGAGTGTGTGTCTGTGTGTGTATGTGAGTGTGTGTGTGAGTCTGTGTGTGTGTATGTGAGTGTGTGTGTGTCTGTGTGTGTATGTGAGTGTGTGTCTGTGTGTGTGTGAGTGTGTGTCTGTGTGTGTGTGAGTCTGTGTGTGTGAGTCTGTGTGTGTCTGTGTGAGTGTCTGTGTGTGTGTCTGTGTGAGTCTGTGTGAGTGTGTGTCTGTGAGTGTGAGTCTGTGTGTGTGTCTGTGTGTGTGTGTTTGTGTGAGTCTGTGTGTGAGTTTGTGTGTCTGTGAGTGTGTGTGTGTGAGTCTGTGTAGCGGTTAGCGCGCTGCGCTATGAACCTGGCGACCCGGGTTCGATTCCTGCTCACGGCCAACACCAGTGACGATTATCTGAACCGGTCCCGGGCCTCCCCTAGGTCGACTCAGCCTCAAATGAGTACCTGGTGCGGTGTGTAAACATCGTCACTAGGGAGACAAAGGCGGTCGGGCGTGGTGCTGGCCACCCACCCCCTCGTGTACCGTTCCGGCCTTCATAGGTGCTCGCTAACAGCACTTGCCCCTACAGTCTGTTAAGGCTATACGGGGGATCTTTGTCTTTGTCTTTGTGAGTCTGTGTGTGTGTGAGTGTGTGTGTGAGTCTGTGTATATGTGAGTCTGTGTGTGTGTGAGTCTGTGTGTGAGTCTGTGTATGTGAGTGTGTGTGTGAGTCTGTGTGTGTGTGAGTGTGTGTGTTTGTGTGTATGAGTCTGTGTGTGTGAGTCTGTGTGTGTGTGTCTGTGTGTGTGAGTCTGTGTGTGTGTCTGTTTGTGTGTGTGAGTCTGTGTGTGAGTCTGTGTGTGTGAGTCTGTGTGTGTCTGTGTGAGTCTGTGTGTGTGAGTCTGTGTGTGTGTGTCTGTGTGTGTGAGTGTGTGTCTGTGTGTGTGAGTCTGTGTGTGTGAGTCTGTGTGTGAGTGTGTGTGAGAGTCTGTGTGTGTGAGTCTGTGTCTGTGAGTGTGTGTGAGTCTGTGTGTGTGAGTCTGTGTGTGTGTGAGTCTGTGTATGTGTCTATGTGTGAGTGTGTGTCTGTGTATGTCTGTGTGTGTGAGTGTGTGTGAGTCTGTGTGTGTGTGAGTCTGTGTGTGTGTGAGTCTGTGTGAGTCTGTGAGTCTGTGTGAGTCTGTGTGAGTCTGTGAGTCTGTGAGTCTGAGTGTGTGAGTCTGAGTGTGTGAGTCTGTGTGTGTGTGAGTCTGAGTGTGTGAGTCTGTGTGTGAGTCTGTGTGAGTTTGTGAGTCTGTGTGTGAGTGTGTGTGAGTGTTTGTGAGTCTGAGTGTGTGTGTGAGTGTGTAAATCTGAGTGTGTGAGTCTGTGTGTGTGTCTATGTGTGTGTGAGTGTGTGAGTCTGTTGTGTGAGTGTGTGTCTGTGAATGTGTGAGCGCTCTCGTTTAATGAGCAACTCTTTGAGTTTTAGCGACGTTGTAAAGTCTTAAACGACTGTATTCTAAAGTCAGATGGCTGTATTGTAAAGTGAAAGTATGATATTCTATAGTCAAACGACTGCATTGTAAACTGAAACGACTGCATTGTAGAGTCGAACCACTGCATTGTAAAGTGAAACGACTGCATTGTAAAGTGAAACGACTGCATTGTAGAGTCAAACGACTGCAATGTAGAGTCAAACCACTGCATTGTAAAGTGAAAGTATGATATTGTAAAGTGGAACGACTATCATCAAGTCAAACGACTGCATTGTACATTTGAAGCGATGCATCGTTCGGAATTGCTACTCTGGTTTACACCAAACTCATGCATCTTCCACCATCACATTCACACGTTGCCACCGTCGTTAGGGCCTTACAAAGCGCCTTCGCTTAAGGCGATGTATCCATTCAGTTAAGATAAGAGCCAGTGTTGAGAAATACAAAACAAAATCCACATTCCTATGGCAGGGGGCCCTCTTAGGGGCATCCATAGGACAACCCGCTGTGTTGACTTTCTCGGAGTGCTACTCGTTTTATCGACCCCCCCACCCCGAGGGAGGAGGGATGATGGGCAACACAAGCAGGAGGAGCCACGGCTGAGTTGCAACAACACTTTTTGTGTTTTCAGGAAGAACCCAAAACAAAAATGGGCCCACGTTTTACGCCACGATGCTCAAAGCTCCGCACAGATGGATTCGATTTCAGGAGGGGTGTGGTGTTTAGTTTGGACGGACCGGTGGTGCCATGTTCATTTCCCACAGCCCTGGGCTCTCCGACTTCCTTAGTCTTTGGCTCTGCCAGAGCTGTCAAGCCCTTATCAGTGCCCTCTCTACATTATTACAGACCAATTCAGACCGTATTGGTCACCCCGTGCCCCTTATGAATCTCAGCGTTCATCCTACAAAGTCACCATCATCAAGGGAGAAACACAGACAAATAGACCAAAAAGTGTCGTTGCCCGGATTGAAACGGCTGTACGCCGTATGGACCTGAAATCATCGATTTCCCTGTAACACAGGGGTGGGTGGGAAACCTTTTTTCTGCTAAGGGCCATTTGGATATTTATATAACATCATTCGCGGGCAATATAAAATTATCAACTTGAAAGTTAGCCCGTTATATTTGGTCAAACATTTCATTAACTCGCCCCTAATGCGATGGCTGGAACTGCTTCTCTTTGGCGAGGCGTGTGATGACGTTAGCTGGTATTGATGATGTTAGCTGGTATTGATGATGTTGCTGCTACTCGCAACTGCTTGTCCAGTTTTGCTCCTAGATTTATTGAATTTCGAGTCCACAGCTCTATGCTCTGTGTACAAGCAGTGGCGGCTCGTGACATCTCCACGAGGTGGTGCTGTTGTGAGTGACCTCTGAAAATGTGGCGTTCTAATTTAGAGAGAAAAAAAAACCTCGTCATGTTATTGGCCTTCCCGTGAAATTGATGCAACTTTCTTATCTACCAACGGTAAGGCATTTATAAACCGTACGAAACAAGACAAAGCACTCCCCATGACCCTCAAGTCCACACCACACAACCCCCTTTTGACGTTGGCAGAAGCCGTGAGCTGCTGGAGTTGCGCAGTGCCACCTGACACTGCCCTGAATGGGTCTCAAACGGCGTGGCCAAAATCCGCTTCTCGTCGCGATGAATGAAGGGACACCTCTCACGCGAACTCCTTGACAGCCACCCCGAGACCTCCCCACAAATCAGACAGTGGTGTTCCAGCGGTTTCTAATACGAACAACTTAATATGTCATCTTCATTGGGCAATTCACGTTGACATTTTTTTTTTAAACACAACAAAATTGAAAGTAAAAGTATTTTTATTCGAAAAATTATTCATCGTCTCCAGCTGCTTTGTCAGTGGGTGCCACACAACCTCTAGTAGATGAACCGCGCCTGTGTACATGTACAGTATTTCGACTTGCTTAAGCATATACAATAAAACCTTGGATTGCGAGTAACTTGGTCTGCGAGTGCTTTGCAAGACGAGCCAATTTTTTTAAAATAAATGTTAATTTGATAAACGAGCGAGGGTCTTGCAATACGAGTAGTAGTACGTGTACACGCTTTGTACTGCCGAGCATCACGTGATCACAACTGATGTACGAGCGCTTTGGATTACAAACACGTTTCCGGAACGAATTATGCCCGCAATCCAAGGTTTTACTGTACGTTGCGTAAGCTTTCATATAAACGTTGGCACGTACTGTGTCATCATTTGCTGTGTTTTGCCACGCGTGTGTCACTTTAGATCATGGACCAAACCCGACACAGACGTTCCATCTCGAGGGCTCATCCAGGGTAACACAAAAAAGATTTGACGAAACTAAAAGAAGCGAACGCCTTCTTCATATCTCGTCGGGAAAGATTTTAATCGCGTCCCTTTTTTTTTGTCGTCGTCCCCCCCCCCCCTTCGCCCCGCGACGATGCCCAGCGGCATGTGACCGCGAGTCCAGCTCGGCCCCCGCCTGCCCTCCTCCTCGTGGCCCCCCGACTGCCCAACCCCCACCCCACCCCACGCTGCCCTCCTCCGTCATGGAGTTCTACGAGCGGACGAGGGTGGAGCAGCTGCCCACGGGGCTGCCCTTCCCCTGGCTGCCCCCGGACGTCCCCGTGGTCCACGTGGCCGAGGGCAGCCAGGAGCGCAGCGTGGTTACACGCGTCCTGCGACTGCTGAGCGACGGTGACGCCCGCCACGTGCTCCTGAGGTAAGAGCGAGACAGGACAGCAAGCGGGCTGGCGGGCTGGCTGGCTGGCTGGCTAGGTACACCGCTCTGGGTTTTCGCCGTTTTGTTCCTTCTGAACGCTCTTCCAATACTAGGAAGCCCACTGGGAGCTGTGGCGCTTTCAAATCGTCCGGGTTGAACATGTAATTCTTTAGAACTGCTTTTTTCTGCGTCTAGTTCTTCCTCCGCACCTCCGATGAGCACGGTCGGCTACGTACGGCGCGAAAGAAATTCAACGTACATCCGCATGTCGCTCTCGGGAAGTGTTTTCCGGTCGTGCCGTTCGGCAGGCACGGTGTCTCCAACGTTTTGCTTCGCATGCTGAGAAATTCTTTGGGAACCGAATCAGCCCCCTTCCCCCCCCCTCCTCCCCCCCCCCTCGCACACGGAGAGAAGAAACGCCGTCACCTTTACCAATCTGCATTGACCAGCGTGGTGAAGTAAGGTCAATCTCCGAGATCATAAAGGGGGATGTGGAAGTGACCTATGTTTCGCGGCAGAATTGACAAAAGGCTGCTGGTGTTTGTGGCGACAGCCAACACTGGTGTTCGACTGTAGGGAGGCCTTTATTTCTCGAGGAACGAAACACACGGTCTCCCAGAATTCCCTTTTCTCCGGGCGTCCCGAACTCTCTCGCTCCTCTCCACTTGTATGTTGCTCAAGCTCCCTTTCTCGAAGGTCCCTCTCAACCCGCTTTCGCTCCAGCCAATCAACTTTCCCTAACGGATCCCAAACCGACCTGCCTGTCAATCATCCTCCGTTTCCCGCTCTTTCCATTCAGTAATTCTCATCCAATCACCTTCAGCTTCCCCGCCTCTAACCAATCGCCTTTCAGGCCTGTTAGGTACCAATCCGAGGGCCATTGTTTTTGCTTCCCGGTTATCCGTGTCACGCGGTGTCCACCACTTCGGGCGAGTATCGGCAGCAGTGGAATATAATCTCTACGCCTTCGTCTGAAAACAGAAACGTCACTTGACTCCTGAGTTTTGAAGGCCATGAAATCTAAACAGATCTGAGCAACCGACCAATCGAGCGGACCCACCTCTGGACTGCGCCGCCACAGTTGCCGAGATCTAAAACGACGCGCGGCTTGTTGTGCGCGTGCCTAACGTGCCCCTGACGTCTGCTGCTCATGCGTGAACCCGTCTGGCGGTGCGCCGTGACAACGACGATGGCCGCACGCCGACTTCTTCGTCCGCGGCGACCGCGACCGTTCCCTCGACGGCGTCCAACCGCGGCGGCGGCGGCGGCGGCGGCGTCATCAGCGGCGCGGGGAGAGCAGGTGGCCGGGCGGTGTCGTGCTCGGACGCGGTGCTGCGCCGTGCCCCGGGCGCGCCGCTGCGCCGCGCGGCGAGCGCCGGCACGCGCGTCACGGCCGAGACGTGGGAGCCGCGCGCGCGGGGCTGCGGCCTCGACACGCTGGTGGTGCGCCGCTCGGCGCACACCCTCACCGTGCTGCTCACCAAGGTGAGGGGTAGGGTGGGCGCGGCCGTCGAGGGGCGGGGGGCGACCGACGCCGCTGCCGCACAACATGGCAGCAACACGTGCTCACGGCGACTCGAACCCTGACTCGAACCCCGACTATAACCTGGACTCGATCCATAACCCTGACTCGAACCCACACCCCGACTATAACCTGGACTCGATCCATAACCCTGACTCGAACCCACACTCCGACTATAACCTGGACTCGATCCATAACCCTGACTATAACCTGGACTCGATCCATAACCCTGACTCGAACCCACACCCCGACTATAACCTGGACTCGATCCATAACCCTGACTCTAACCCACACCCCGACTATAACCTGGACTCGATCCATAACCCTGACTCGAACCCACACCCCGACTATAACCTGGACTCGATCCATAACCCTGACTCTAACCCACGGTCTATGACCATAACCCTGACTCTAACCCACACCCCGACTATAACCTGGACTCGATCCATAACCCTGACTCGAACCCACACCCCGACTATAACCTGGACTCGATCCATAACCCTGACTCGAACCCACACCCCGACTATAACCTGGACTCGATCCATAACCCTGACTCGAACCCACACCCCGACTATAACCTGGACTCGATCCATAACCCTGACTCGAACCCACACCCCGACTATAACCTGGACTCGATCCATAACCCTGACTCTAACCCACACCCCGACTATAACCTGGACTCGATCCATAACCCTGACTCGAACCCACACCCTGACTCTGTCCCTAACCCTGGCTTTAACCCCAACCCTAACCCTCACTATAACCCTCATCCTGACCCCAACCTTGACCCCGCCACCACGCAGGACGACCTGCCGGCCGGCACAGGAGACCTGGACCTGCGTTCGATCGACGCCACCATCTTCTTCTCCGAGCCGAAGGCACCGGCGGGCGCTGGGCGGGCGGTGGACGCGGCGGCGGCGACTTCGGCGGCCGGGCAGGGAAGGGCAGGGAGAGGGGGGCGCGGGGGGCGTGGAGGGTGCGGGGGGGGGAGAGGGGGGAGAGGGTGGCAGAGGAAGCCACCGGTGGGAGGGGGGCACCACGTGGGGCACCACCGCGCTTGCCAGGGGGCAGAGGCGGCGCCCATGATGAGCTGACGAGGGCTGGAGCAGGAGGAGGAGGAGGAGGCGTGGACATTTTTGGTCGTTTTCTTGCGGGGAGACGCGGCTCTTCTCCCGTTGCCACCGAGGGAGGCTGCGCATCCCTGGGCTGACGCACGATGCGTGAAACTTCCTGAAACGGTTATAAACGCTCCAAGGTGTTGCCAACTATTGAACGGTAAACCCCGTCGGCGTCGAATGTGGTTCCGCGCATAATTTGGACGAATTACAGCTCGTGAGAATTCAAACAAAAAAATTGTTTTTTTGCCAAAATATTACTCCCGTGCGGTGGGACAGGTGGGAAAGTGCCACCCGCTGCCGTTGTGTGGACCACACGGCACCTTGAAGCAATGTCATAAATCGCTCTGCCATTATTCGCTTCTGTGTGGCGTCCGCTATGATGGGCGGTTGCGCTGCTCTGCGCGAGTCCTGAATGGATACTTCCTCTTGTGACATGACACAGCACAATCGGGATAGTTTTGGGGAAAACTAAATGCAGGAGACTCTCAATTATTATCCGCGTGCAGTTTATCCGATTAGTAGGTGAACCGCGCACCGGAGATTTTGTGCATCAATTAATAACTCGTGAATTTTCTCTTAAGCCCACATTCATAATCTAAGAGCAGTTATTTACTATTATTCTTGCAACTGTTTATTAGAAGTCACGTGCTTAAACCGAACTCGATTTTCTTAACTTAAACATAATTTAAACCCACACATTATTCGTTTTTGGCATAGATATCCGTGAAAAATAGTTATATTTTTGTATTATCTGCGATTTTGAATTATTCCGCGGCCGTCCTCCCCGTCATTAGCACGAATAATCGAGTCTAACGGGATATATTTTTAAAGGCTGTAGTGTGACAATGATGCTATAGTGCATCATTGTCACACTTGTACGTTTTAATACATCAGTGTGATGGTAGTGTGCTGGACAGCATTTGTGTTACAGAAACCCAACGGAGCCTAGGTACTTGCCAACAATATATGAACTCGGCATAGCGTGAGTTTTAATACGTTGAGCACATCGTTGTTATACTTGTGCCTTATTTCCTTGTGCGTTGAAGGGGATGGAGTGCCGATGGGCCAAAATCCTTGCGCAAAGGATCATTGGCGAGTGATTTAGGGATAACTCAAACGCCAAGTCTTGCCACTCCGTTTACAGCCAGTGTATGTGTGTTTAACTTATTTCGCATCGTACGTAGCCAACCGTGCTAATCGGAGGTGCGGCGGAAGGACAGCTATCGAGTGTGCAGGCGGTGTAACTGCACCGGGCCATGGGCCGGGAGAGGGCGCAACACGACTCAATTTCATTCCTTGCACCCACCAGGGCCCATGCCAACCCACGCCACTCGCCAACTCGCCAACTCACCCCGTGTATTTGTGCCCTCTTCGCCGCTCGACTCGTGAATCTCACCCTGCGAGTGGCCGGAAGGGTTCTCTGTAGAGCGGGGTCCCAGCGTGCCGGAGGAGTACTTTGCCGTGAACGTCTTGTTAAGCCGGCGGCATTTGTTCAGCGAGCCCGACTCTCCTGGTGAGACCAGCACGGTTGATGCCGGTACAGAGTTTGCCCGATTAAACAAATGTTGTTGCGCGGCAGATGATTTTTTTTATTTCCCCCTCTCTGAAAAGCCAATAGGCTGATGGGTAAAAGGGTGACATCCACTGCCGGTCGATCGGCAGGTTGCGTTTTGGCGAGATAAAAATGTGGGTTTAATTCCGTCGCTTCTTCGACGTCTGGCCAGCGTGAATTAAGTCGGCCAAATAATCTCCTTGAGGAGATACGCTCCAGAACAACCGTCTAGTGGAGACCCTTTCTGCCAGCAGTCGCTGTTGCACGGCTGCACCTCTACCTATCGGTGCAACCATCACTTGCGTGACCGCCGCTCGGCATCGGGAGGAGAGCGTTGGACGTGGCGGATATCGCGCTTCCTGAATTTGGCGCTGTCGAGACCACTTAAGTCACCCCCCGCAAGTCATCCCCCCAAGGAGCCCGATCACTCCACCCACTCCCAGCCGATTCCCAGTCCTGCCTGGCCTAGGGAGATGAAACCAATTTCCTCACAAATTGTCCGCTCATCAGAAGCCCCCCCCCCCCCCCCACAGAGAGCACACCCCGTACGAGAGAGCCTCATGAATACTGCATTGTGGTGGTGGTGGTGGTGTGGCTTTTCTTTTTGTGTTCACGGGGTTTTTCAGATGTTGTCCTCTTGAACGATTTCCCAACCGAGGTTGGCAGCATAAATGCATTAGCCTCCGCCGTCCAGCTGTAACATAGGGTCATGGTAACTGTTGTGGAGTTTGATCCAACGTGAACAGAATCTTGTTTTACCGTGTCCTCCGGATTCTCCGACGCCCTGGGAAATAAGACGCGCACCCCCCCGTCGACGAAGCGACGCCAATGTGGACACAACACAGCTACCGGATTATAAGACGCGTCGCCAACTCGCGCCTTTAAATTACACGGCGGGGACAAAAAGAAAGTTCGTCGTGTAATTCGGGGGACATGGCATAAAGTTGCGTTGCTGTTCGGGACTTAACCGATGGTCCATGTGCCACAGCAGAAATCGGTACCACCTAAGGTCAAGTCAGTTTATGTTGGGTTAAACATAAGACATCTTCCTGGCACGAATTTGCCAACCGAGAGTTGGCGAAACTTTTGAGCAGCACCGATAATCCATGTACGCGGCGAACATACGAGTGGATTAAACAGGAGCAGGGCGTGCATGCATAATGTATGTGCGTTGTGCATGCACATTATGTATGTTGATTACCCCATGAATAACCCAACCGAGAATGGATATCCATTATAAATTATATGCATACATTCCCTCCCCTCTGGTCTTCGCACCCGATTGGCTCACAAGTGACGACATCGCATTTATCCCTCTCTTTAAGACCTGAAACAGGAGGATTTCTCCACAACGCTGGCTGTCGCCTGATGATACTGTTTATGATTACCGGCAAAGCGTTGTACTCGAATTGCAAATGTTGTGGGTTTACTCTCCTACCCACCGGTGTGCTGTACTTGTAACGAATTGGCACGTTTTGTTTTCGCGACAGACATTACTAGTTGGCTGTGTCGGGTGGTGGCGGTTTTATATTTACGTGATCTAACCCAAAAATCTCTTATGTATTTCGATATAACCCCCCCCACCCCCCCCCCCCCCCGCTCATTTCAAGTGGGCATTTATATAATTCACCGTTATTGGCCAAGAAGTTTGAACCCCTTCGAAGTGATGCCACCTCAGGTGGTGGCCGACCGGTGAACTTTCTGGCCCTGGCTCGCGGACTCCCGATAGAAAACCGGGCGACACGAACTTGGACAAAATTTGGCGCAGCAAAAAAAAAAATCTACTTTCCGAAAACTCCTCCGATTTTAAAACCTAAGCGCGAAACGGATCAGCCGATTTTCAGCCAAGGCGATGGACCTAGACCCTGAGGCCGCCAACCCGCCAGCGCGCACACACACGCGCGCAAGATAACGCCATCGTCACAAAATACGCACTCGGGAATACGCACGGTTTTTACTTGTCACGTTATTTTTCTCGAAGCTGTTAGAGCCACGTGGAATTGGCTTCCTGGTGTCTTAAAAGCGCCGCGCGGCGTCAACGTTGATGACGTTCGGTTTGAAAGGGCGGTGGACGAATGGTTAAAGCCAACTGCTTGTTCACCTTCGTGGAGATCTGTTAGCCCAAGGGAGTGAGTGAGTGAGTGCCATTAACTCTCGCTGGGGGATGGGGGGGGTGGTTGGGGGTTGGGGGTCTACCTTCATCGAGATGTACGAATTGACTTGAGTCCAAATCACTTCCACCTCTTCTAGGACGTCCGGCCGGCGGGAAAGAGTCGGCCAAAATACCCTCTGGCTGGGCCTCTCTAGCGGAGGTCCTTCCACCGACAGTGGCATCAGAACAAGCTGCAGCGCCTGCAGCTTTGCCATCTTATACGCAACAGATTCGGTCATCCTTGCGAATTGCACACCCAGAGGGGCAACGCTTGCCCCGGAAGTAACGCCCACCCATCTTGGCTCTGTCGATAACTCGGTGCACCGATGCCGAGCGTGTAAATATCCATGCCAATGTCGTGGATCGTCGGGCTGCTCCTCGGCACGGGTCTCCGTCTCCCTTGGCACTTGCGGTCACGTGGAACCAGGGCCGGCGTTCATCGCGCCATTAGGATTCCGTCGGCGCCCGCGAAGCCGTTGGTGAACAGCCGTCAACCACGGCGCCTCCGATCGGCACGGAGGTGCAGGGTTCACCGCTTAGGTCTTAGGCCCGTGCGCGAGGTCTGGCATTGTCGTGCTCTGGAATCGTTCCGTTGGAGGAGGGAGGAGGCGGCAAGGGGAGGGGGGCTTCTGTAACTCTGCCATCTGGCAAATGTTCATGACATTCTCGAGAAAGAATATTTTAACTGTTTATTCAGTGCAATAAAAACGTATGGAGTGGATAAATTGAAGGCCGTTACTTTTGCGTTCCCCGCTTGCATTTTGGGGGGGGGGGAAAGAATACCGACGGGGAGTTGGGCCATGAGGCCCCCCCCCCCTGCGCGTCGCCACGCAGCCCCACAGCGTCCGTGCAACATTTGTGCAGCGTTCGCTGAAACACACGTTCGAGACGCTTCCATTGAGGCGAACACGTGTCGACGTCCATAATAGAGGTTTTTTTGGGTTAATACGCGATCTAACCCCAAAAAAAACCTCTCTTATGGATGATATTGCTCGCAAAAGCCTCCGTGTTGAACCGACGTATTGACGTATCTACGTTGAACCTATTTCCGCGCCTTACGTTGCCAACTTGTGCACATCACGTGGCTGAATATATATATACGCGTGCGTGTATATTTCTACGGGGTATGTACACAAAGTATTTTGTACATCGTGTGTATATGTGAAAGCAAATCCGGCCGGCCTTGTTTTGCACGAGAGTCGGCGATTGTGAGCCAGTTCCTACATTTGCAAAATTGCGTGCGGCTGATTGAGGAACAATTAAGTATCAGCTGTACCCTTGTAAGTATTTGTCTCTCTCTCTGGTCTTTCTTGTTCAAGGAAAGATGATGGATCTCAATGTCTTCTTGCCCGGGTAAATAAAACGCCGATGAATTTCCGTTTGTAGTGAATGGCGCCCGCACGCGCGCGCGTGTGTGCATGTGTGCGAGTGGGGAGCGGTGGTGCAACGGTGAACGAGCTGCACAACGACCCGAGTTCGATTCCCGCTCACGGCCAACACCGGTGACTTATCCGGACCGGTCCCGGGCCTTCCCCGAGGTCGGCTCAGCCTCAAGTGAGTACCCGGTGCGGTGTGCAGTAAACATCGCCACTGGGGAGACAAAGGTGGCCGGGCGTGGTGC